ATCTTAAAAGGCACAATTTAAGAATTAACCTCAATCAGGAGCCTTGATTAGTCCTATTCTGTTTCCCATCCTAGATTCTTTATGCTGGTAGTAAATTACTGAGGCTCAGCATTGCTATTTATTATATTAGATTGTATTGGAATTTCCCTTCCCTCCCTTTCCAGTTTACAAAGGGCCTCTGCCGAAGGATATACATCCTGGCTCAGATTTCTTCAGGGCCCAGCTGCTCTGGGTGAGTTTCCTGGTCTCCTACCTGTATGATCATTATGATGATGGGAATCTCCCAGGCCTCCCAGGCCAGAATCAGCCTTATACATGGGATTCCCTGGATGGTGACCGAGCTCAGCTCCTGAATCTGAGTCACTCTGGCCAGTTTTTACGCTTTTCCTTCTCCGAGGTTGGTACTTATAATCCGGGTGATCCTTCTTATGCTGGACCCTTAGCCTCTCAGCTTCTTCTACAAAAGGGCGTTTCTCATTTTCACTCAATAAGCTGTAAGAATAAGAACAAAAATTTGAGTTAAATGGGAAAGATAATAAAGGTTTGGCAATACAGACAGATAAGTATATGCATATGTTTCCCAAATAATGGTATTTGCATACTTTTCCTTTTAACTTTATGATAACTTCTTTTATTAGGAGTCAGCGTCAGCATGGGTCTACTGTAAGATCTAAATAAATGTCTTCCCTGTGTGATACTGTCTTACAAAGGTCCTCTAAATCTTGGGATTTCCAAGTATCGATATTTTTATACAACACTCTTCTCCACTGGCTGTAAGTTCAGACATTTACTGCATGATAAAAATGGGAAATGGGAGAGTCTATGGAAGTTTCACATTTCAGCCTGATTTGTATTTTTGTTGATTTGCTTTCAAAGAAATAAGCAGTGAAATAATCACCCAAATGTTTCATCTTACTTTTCCTGCTTATGTGTTTTATAAACAGCCCCACTAAAACCAACGGTGATCCGAGGAGAATGTTTTTACTTCGGGCAACTGGGGTCAAGGCCTTATACCGTGAGATAAAAGTATTGCTTTCTGGGAACTGATGCACTACAACTAATAGAACTGATGGGACTGGCTGTTCTTTGATTATAAATTTGGGCAAAAATATGAAGGTGAACGTGATCAGGCATCAGTTATAAACATCACAAGAGTATACCAGGTAACAATACTTTCCAGAAACTTATTCTCAACTTACAAATGTGAAGCCTGTTGAAATGTATAGAAACTTTGGATTTAGGAAAGAATATCAAGAATCATAGACCAACCACCTCTTTTTAAGGCTAGGGATGCTGGGGCCCAAAGGGTGGCTGTCAAAGGAGTAAAATGGGTGATACCCTGAATACCCACATACATTTTGCATACAACACATTCAAAGCTGTCCAGACCCTACAGAAGATGAACTTTCCCCAAACGCACTGTCTGATGCCTATTACAATTGCTCTGTTTTTAAAAAACGCTTCTCCTTCGATGTGGAATTGGAAGTCAGAATATTTTTGCAAATCCAAACTCCTGACAATTATTTTTAAAATCTAAATATATACACCAAGTATAAAGGCTTGAAGACAATCAGAAAGAACATTCAGAAATGACAATGATCTTAAAGCTCAAATTCAGAGAATAGAAAGACAAGCAATTCAGCCTCATTCTTACGAGTTAAAGGAAAGGCCAGTAATTCTATAGCAAGGCCTTCTTCCCAAAATATCCATTGCTCTTCCAACTTGGTTCATTCATTCTACTGGTGTGGGGAAATGTTGTGAGAGATGGGGGGAAAAACCTCAAAATATTGGTGAGAACTAATTTGTAAAATACAAATCAAGCTAGAAAGACTAGGTCCACAATCTGGACTGTGCTGCTAAAAGACAGATTTAGGTAGGTCACACAGGAACTCTGGAAAACTTCCCAAAGGAGAACAAAAACTTTCTCTTTAAGAGCAAACAGCTCCAGCAGTTCCAGATCTGTCTTGGGGAACTGGAGATGGACACAACTCAATCAGCTTGTGGGATAGTCAAGAAGCCATATTTACTTGGGGTGTCTGAGTATATCTCCAGTACCTCTCTTGTCTTTGTTTCTCTAGCATCTAGCCTAGCGATTTGTACATAAGTAGATGCTTAATAAATGTTGAGTTTAATGTAATTTAATTGGTACTGTGCTGGGTACCCTGGAGATCAGATGAAACAAAGCCAGTCTGTTTGGTGACTTGGTGGGAAATGTAATAAATCAATCCCCCAAATTTAGCTTCGAATTCACTGAAGAGGTTTTTGTGCTGTATCAAGCCCTGAATACGTATTCAGAGAGTTACCAGATTTAGCCCTCAAGGCTTCTCTAGGGAGCAGGGTGTTTGGATACCTGGAGATGTTGTCAAAATATACTCAGACCCCCAAAGAACACAGAACTGCTTCAGGTCTTGCCAGAGGGTATTTTTCCACTCAGACCAACCCTATAAATTGTCCAGGGGAGCAGGGAACTCTGGTTCTTGGAATGGTTCCCTCACCCCCACACCCCCACCCTCCTCCTCCTCTTTGGATTTCAACCACAGTATCCCTTCTGTTCAAAATAAGGGTCCAAACTCTGGGTTAATAGAACCGTTGGAGCCAAATCCTCACCCAGGCAGAGTTCACTCTGTGGGGTGGTCCTAATCCAAAACAGCCCATACATATCAAGGGGTGACTCTATGGCACTGTCTTTGTCCCTTTGCTCTTCTGGATCGTTTGAATTGTACTTGCTTAACTCAGGCTCAAGGATGGCCCTTTAAATTCACTCTTCTCACTGCCCCTCTTTCCTCATGAAGTTTTAGTTATGAAGACTCAGCTCCTCAGAACCAGTGGATAGACATAAAGGGGTTTTTTGGTTGTTGACTTGTTTTTTTTTTTCGTTTGTCTCCTCTGGACCACTTAAAAGAAAGATGCTTTCACTCACCCACAGAAAGCACACACCCTAATATCCCCTCCCCTAAGCCCCCCTAATTATGCAAGCCTAACAACTACGTACTCTAGCACTGGTTGGGGGGGGAGGGGGCCAATGTGTGTATGTGGAAAGGTTGCCGTCCTCTCAGCCTCTCTTAGCGTTGGGGCACCCTAAGAGCTTTGTGGACAAGAGTGCCACAAAGCCGGCCCTCGAGGGGCCAAGGAATCAAGTTGATTCGACTTCGGGCTCCCAGATCTATCACCTACTTATCTTTCTTGGGTTCTAGCAACATTTTGGGTAAGCTGGATCAGAAAAAGGTCAAACTTTTCAGATCACCCAGAGAGAGGGAAATCCACATGCCCCTTTTTAATCCTTGTCAGTAACTATAAAACTGGCAGGGAGGAAGGGTTTAGGGAATTCTACCATCAGGATTTCCCCAAGGCGGTTTTACTAGATGTGTGACCTTGGGCAGGTCACTTCTTTGGGCCTTGGGCCTCATTCTCCCCATTTGTAAAACGAAGGAGTCGGTCTAGAGATGATCTCTAAGAGCCCTTCTAGCTCTAAAGTTGATTATAGAGGGTACTCGGTGATCCAAATCTCTGGATGGGTAAGAACCAGTTACTATTTATCTTTGCACCTCGCTCAGGACAGCACAGAGGACCTTGCACAGCATAACTCCATCAAGTATTTGTTAAATGGAATTTCTAATTACGCTTCTGCTCTGGACGGACTGTTTTGTCAGGAGTGTCCCTCTGTCTCCGAATGCCCACCTCTCCTCCCTTCTCTGGGTCAACAAGGGTTCGAGTCCGTGGCCTACCGATTTCCTCCCCAGTTTCCCCGAGGTCACTCACCGCCACAGTTTTCCCAGGGTCTTGCTGAGTTCGGCGTTGTGCAGATGCGGGTACTGGTCAGCCAGCTTCCTTCGAGCAGCCTGTGCCCACACCATGAAGGCGTTCATGGGCCGCTTGACATGAGGCTTAGCCTTGAGTGAGCCATTGCCTCGCACCGGCATGGGCACCAGACTCCAGTCGTATCCCTTCAGCACCTGTGAGACCGCGTCGCGGATGCACGCGGGGAAACGATCGTCCACTTCTCCCGGGTCCACCTTGGAGCCCAGCGCCGCGCCCCCGCCCGCCTGCCGTGGACCGGTCCCAGACGAGCAGCCCAGGCCCTCAGAGCCGGCCGGGGACAGCGGCGTGTCCGAGTCCGAGTCCTCCACGTGCGACATGGAGCTGGTAGTACCCGAAGGGCTGCAAGGCGGCTCCAGGGTCTTCTCGTGTTCTTCGGTCATGTTGAGCATTTGGGATGCGATAAGAAGAGGACGGCGTGGGCAGATGAGTGAAAAGAAAAAGCAAAGCAAAACAAACAAATCCTGCAACTTCAGCGTAGAACTTTTAAGACTAAAGGGATTTTAAAAAATCACTTCGGCGAGCGCATTTGAGCCGACTCTGAGAGGCAGGAGTAGCGTCTGGGTCTGCAAAGACCGTGTCCAGGAGGGGTCGGGCTGTGTCTCTGCTCGTTCTCCTTTCTCCTCCTAGCTCAATGAGGCATAAGCCGCGGACCCCACTGGGGCGCGCCGGGCAAAGATCTCTTCCCAGCTCTGGAATCTGCGATCTGCTCCCTGCGCTTCTGGAGCCAGAAAAACTCGCGCCACCCGCAGTTCCTTAGCCCACAGGTCCGCCCCCCCAGATGGGTGGCAGATGTGCCCTGCAGCTGTGGCGGCCCCGACTGTCTCCACCGGCTGCGCCGAGGACCACCGCCACCCCTCCCTCTGGTACTCTCCTGGGTTAGGGAGCTAAGGCTGCTACCTCCACCGACGCCGCTGCTGCTGCTATCTCGGTCACCAGTACCCCCGAACTTCCCAGCAGCAAGCACAACCGATACAGATACTGCTTCAAAGCGAAATCCTCACTTCGCGCACCCTGCAACAAGTTTCTTTAAGCAGCGGGCGGGGAACCACGCCCCCTCCCCGTCTCCCAATTGGCCCTCGGGGCGATGGGATCATTTGCATAAGCAGCCTGGCTTTACCCACCTACCCAACTCTTAAAGAAAGAGCGGTCCCTTTCCCAGTTCACTCGCAGACACCCCCGCCCCTGCCTTCTTGTTTTAGCCACGTGAGATGAGTGTGTATGGATGTGTAAGTATGTATGTGTGTACTCACCCGAGAGTTCCAAAGCGACTTTTTAACAGAAACTACTTAAGTTAAGAAGGTACCAAGATTTTACTTTTTTTTTCCCTAAATGCATACAAGATGAAATATTCTTTTTCGTGGGGTGGAGGGAAGTTAGGAAGACGTCAGTGGGAAGATTTGGAAGTCAAAATGGAATTTTGGAAAAATTTGGAAGTTAAGATTTTGGTGTCAAAATGAAGAGAGTTTTTATAGGATCACCTGTACATCTCCCTTACAATCTTTTACCAAGACCACGGGATCGTAAACATAGAGCTGGAAGGGACTTTAGAGGTCAGCCAAACCCTTTATTTTCCAGGTGAAGAAACTGAGGTCCAGAAAGAGGGCAAAAGCTATTTAGGATGCGGATTTTCCTGTGTTTAGTTAGAAGCCGCCAAACCAAAGCTGACAGAGCTTCCGAGAGGTCCTGGCTGCGGTTAAGACTAGTGAACCTGGAGTTTCAGACCCTTTGCGGGACTGACACGGAAATTTTTAGCCACGAAAAGAGCCGCGAGTGTTAGCTATCCGTCCCAGGATAAAGACTTGGAACGTTTTCTTAAAATTCACCCCACCCTTGTCCTTGAAGTCAGATTTCCAGGACCAACAGGGAGACAGGGGTAGGGGTTGGAGAGAAGGTTTGGTTTCGGGGGTTTCTGAGTTCTTGCAGACCGCGCGGGAGATACTGGCACTATTTTGCTTGCGTCAAGTTACATAGGATATGCAGAAGCGCGAGAGAAGAGCAAAAAGACCAAGTAGAACTAAACATAAAATCAATAACCGCCTCCCCACCTTCATCCCACCGGCCCAGGCTGGGCGATTCCATCCAGAGCTTCTGCAGGGCTCAGGGGTTCCAGAGCGAGGTTTCAGGGAAAATGTTACCTGCTGCTAAAGCGTCTAAAACGGAAAAAGAGAGGGCGCCAGGAGAGAAGATGGAGAGATGTGTACGTTCTGGGGGTCTAAGGGATGGTGGGTGCAAAAAGGAAACTTTGAGGAAGTGAAAAACCTCATTGGGGAGCTAGAGCGGAGCGGAGCCTAGGTGGCTGGTCCGCATTTGTTTGGTTTGACTTTTAAATCCCCCTTGTGGGAAGATGTGGGGAAGAGAACAAGCAACTTCCAAGCTCGTCTCGCCCCCAGACGATTTAAGAGAGCTTGTGCATGCAGGACAAGGATGGGGGCTGAGATGCTAATTAATTAATTTAGAATCGCAGATGTGGAGGCTGCTACAATCTCACAGAGACCGGCGCCCTGAATCAGGCTAGATAAGTCCTCACCCCCCAATAACTGAGTGCCTCTAGAGTGCAGGACAGAGGGACAGAAGAGACGTGAGACTTGGACTGACTAGCTTTGTCGTTGGTTTGCTTGCTGGTTTGGTTTTTGCTCGTGGCGGCGGGGGCCTTGAAGGGTTGCTGAAGCCCCATTTGGCCAGGCGGTGTCAGGTCCTGCCAGACTAACTCTTCCTTATTTTACTAATTTACAAGGGAACTTGAAGGTCTGGTGCAGGTTGCAAGAGAGGGCCAAGGAAAATCTCCCCAGCTAAGCTTTCAGGGGATGAGCCTGTTACTCCCTTCGCTCCCTCTGGGGTCTTTTCTGTTCACAGACGTAGAAACTCATTTCGAGAGAAATTTGTGAGGGTTGCATTTGCGATGTATGTTTAGTGTGTGCTTGCACCTGTGTGTGTGTGGGTGTGCATGTGAGAGAGAGAGAGAGAGAGAGAGAGAGAGAGAGAGAGAGAGAGAGAGAGACAGAGAGAGATGAAGGGGGAGGTTGTAGCTCAGGGGCAAGAATATTTTAAAGCGCCAGTGATAGGGGAAAAAGGAGGCAAGAGGCGGAAAAGGAAAATATAGGAAAAGTACTATCCTCATCTAAGAAATGTTACATTCCTTTGGGGGAGTTAGAATAAGCACTTTCTAAACGGTAAAGTGCCATATATGAAATGGATGGATGGAGGAGGAGGAGAAGGAGGAGGAGGAGGATAGTAATAGTGGTGGTAGTAAAAATCAGTAAGAAAATTGGTAGTATGAGAAGAACCTTTAAACAAGAGCAAAGCTTGACTTAAGTTCAGCATTCGCTAGAAGCTGCAGCCCCTTCCCTAGTTTCCCTCCCCGCCTCTCAGCTTAAAAATAAATGAATAAACAGCGCGGGCACGAACCTCACTATAAACCTAGCAAAAAATTGCTATCCTGGGAGAAAATGAGGAATTTTTTCCAGATTCCGTTGAAAGAACTCCACTGTTTCTAAAATAGTAATAATAATAAATAATATATTAAATAAAATATTTTTAAAAAGCAATCCCAATAGGACTGTAAGCCTTACTCTAGCTTTCCACGTTTTGCCAATCCTAACCACACTATTTCCCAACTTAAGTCTTAGGGACTTCTCTATGTACCTGAGTCTGGGGAAGAGGAGGAATTGAGGTGGCTGGGGCTGCATTTTGGATTCATTCCTCTCCACCCGATTACATTCCAGACTTTAGGGAGCAATACCTTTTGCCTGATCAATAATGGACACCTTTAAAAATTAAAAGGTATTGGGGAGAAAGAAGTGAGACTTACAGTGAGAAGCTTATTCAGTCTCCCTTTATCTCCTACCACAAAACACACACTCACACGCACACACCTGTATCTGGTTCGTTTTGCGGATTTCCCGCGCCTTCAGGGTGTGAATATAGGTGGGGGTGGGTAGGGGAATGGAGAAATATGGGACTAGCAGCCCTTGCCCAGGCCTCAACACCAGAGGCGTTCGAGTGGTTGCAAACTTTTCCAAGTAAAGAGTACTGCCTTTATATCCTCCCAAGGCAGCCTTCAAACACACTTCTGTGCTGCCATCATCGCCTCTGCAGCGCCAGAGTTTTTGACGCCTAGTACACACTCCCTTCCCCGTAAAATAGCAGGAGTCGATTGAAGGCTGTGGGGGGTAGACAGAGAGGTGCCTTGAGGCTCACTCGGTGTAAGACTGGCCCTCGAGGTTCGTCTCAGGGCTGGTGGCTCTAGAATAAGGAGAGTTAACTCGGAAAGCAAGCCGGGTAACTTCTTTCTCTTGCAGTGTCGGTCCCAGAGTTTCCCGCGCTGTGGGAAACTGTTCTCACCCAACAGGATGAGCAGAGGCCATCTAGGAACCTCTCAGACGGTACCTTTCCCTGTCATCAATGTTAGTGCTGACAACTGCATCCATCGCCCTTAGACGGGACAGAGTGGGCTACCCAACTGCTTGCTTTGGTTTGGATTCGAAGACATAGGTGAGGGAGATTGTTGGGTTTTGATTTTTTGTTTTGTTTTGTTTTGGTTTGTTTTTTCACTCCTAGACAGTCTGGATTTGGAGAGATACCGCAAACATTAAAGGTGGGGAAGGGGAGGTACGGGCGGCCCACCGCACATAAAGGGGTATTTCCGGAAAACGAACTGCTGTGAACTGGCAGCATTAGGGATGAAAGGCTGTGAGTTCCTTCTTTTGCATCTGTATATCCAGCACCTGGCACAGTTATCTAGCAACTAGTAGGTGCTTTAATAAATGCTGGCTGATTGCATCCTACAACTGAGTTCTAAAATCGGATCTCAGACGTCTCAACTTTCTGGGTTTTGTTTGTTTGTTTCTTTGTTCTCCGTTTTTTGTTTGTTTGTTCTGGTTTTTAATGGAAGTTCAGACGCAGCAGCGGGAAAGAGCAGTGTAGGGAAAACGCTGGCAATGGCAGGACTCTTCCTCAGTTTTGACAGCCCCCAACCACCTGTTGCCTGAGCAGCGGCTGCTTCTGAGGGCCCTGAGCCCCGCGTTCTGTCCCTCTACCATCTACTTTCTCCAGATCACTCGTAGTGCTGAAACCTCGCTTCGGGAAAATACTGCACAGAAGATTCCCTGGGGACCGAACATCGGGACCTGCGCCTCTTGGTCCTTCGAGGCGCCGGCATTTCGGGCTGTGCAGGACTGGCTGCCCAGACTCTCAAGTCCCATCTCCTCCAGTCCCAGAATATGAACGCTTTTTAGGGGGAAGCATAGACCTCACCATAAACCACAACTGACAAAAATCTGACCCCGTAGAATCTCCTTGGAAACCACGGAAGTTCGAGTCTTCTAGGCTTCCCTTCTGTCTGCCAACCTAAGCCTAATAGGGCAGCCTAAATTCCTAATAGGGTCAGTGAGCTGAAGGCCCAGAGCTAGACGGGGGCCCAAGGACGCCTCCAGGACAGTTGCGTTCTGTCCTAGGCTGCAAAGATGATTAATAGTCTCAGTACTTAAAGTGTTTGGGAAGATGCTAATTTGTGTGCCACTGATAAAAATTAAACAATATCCTGTGAGGGAAAGATGTTCGCTCCTGTCTGGTGTTTTTTAAAGCTACCAACAGTCTTGTTCTGTTTGCTCCCAGGGGACAAAGTGAACCCGTCAAAATACCTTTACGTCTTACCCTGTTGTTTATCCAGAAAATGCAAGGGAAATTACCCAAAAGAGTCAATCCTTCTTTCTCTTCAGAAAATGCAAGGGAAATTACCCAAAAGAGTCAATCCTTCTTTCTCTCGCTACCCCATCCCCCAGCAATTGATGATCTCAGGAGACTGAACCGTGGGTGGAAATGAAATGGCTTTTCTAGCTGTTTCTCCCTTCCTAACAGGCTACTTCTCTATGCCCCCCCTTTTTTCTTATTTTTCTTTCTGTGGTTTGTCCTCCTTACTTCTTTCTGTTCCTTCCTTCCCTTTTTCAGGCCAGCAAGCCATTCCCACTTCCCCTGCTCATTCCAAGTGAAGGGACTCCTGGAGCTGCTTCTGGATGTGAAAAAGAACCCAGTCTGCCTGGGAGACAAGATAGAGATGCTCGGCTTCCTGCAGACCTGGACAGAGGCCTTTGTAGAGGCCCTGAGGGAGAAACATGTGGAATGCTGAGCCAGCGAACACCAGAGATGCTGAATGAGCCAAAGAGGCTCGGACAGAGCAAAGGCACCCAAGGGGAACTAGATAGGCAGATCTGAACTGGAGAGTCAGAGAGGCCTGCTTGTTTCAAAAGATCGTTCCCTACTAGTGGGTCCTACTTTTCCCGTTGAGTCATTAGAGTGTCAACTTCTGTCCCAGCACCTTGAGGGTCCACATGGCACTAAGGGCATAGGGAAGGGTCCTCCACTTAATGGTGCTGTATTTACCTTGCTGCTGGGTACCTGTTATTTCCTGTCGCTGTTTTTGCTCATCTTTCCCCTCCCCTCCTCCCCAAAACACACACACACACACACACACACACACACACACACACACACACACACACACACTTAGCCTACCCCAGGGTCTTTCTGGTTAAGGTTGGGCTTTCTTCCTTGCCTCCTTGCCTCTTTCTAGGGCTTTCTCCCTTACCTCCTTGCCTCTCTCTAGGTCCAGGATAGGTGCAACCCCCTCCAAGCCACATTCTTCCCATCTGGCCCACTGTTGCCTACAAGTCTTGGGCCGTGTTCTAATTCTCCCGCTGTGTTTCCGTAGCAGTTTCAGCGTCTCCAGCTGGCGCTGGCTTCTCGGTGCATGTAGTTCCCTGCAGGGGCCGAGCCTGCGGGTGTTCAGGCCTCTCCAAATCCTCATGCTGCTTGAGCAGCTCAGCGTCTCTGTCTTGCTCCTTGCAGAACCCAGTGTTCCTGCTTACACTCGGAAGCCTCTCCAGGAATTCCCTGGGGACTAAGGGGGTGAGGGGATTAGGCTGGTCTAGGGAGGGGCTTACCTGCATGCCCTCTACAACTTTCCTCCTTTCCAGAGAGAGGCCAGAGGATAATGATTTATTTCAGGGGAAGGACCAAAGTTGTGTCTGATTTCAGCATCAAAGAGTGATCACAACTTTACTCTGATTTGGACTGTCCCACCATATGTCCTGAGAGAAGTTGTACTTTTCCCAGCTATGAGTGAATGAAGGGATACTGCTTTCAATCTCTTCAGAAAGACTTAAATTGGTTTCTCTCAAGGTGAAATTCTATGTAGTTTCAAACTGAAATTGCAGACAGCTTTTGAAACAATTTCCTACCACCTTTTCTTTTCCTCTCTATTTTATAGGCTATGATTTTCTTGGAAATAAATACGTTTTCACTTTCTCCTTTCTCAGTTCCTCTACTGGGCACTTTCCTTCAGCCTGGGAGTCTCAGCTGCAAATACACATTATAGGGCTTCCTTTTTCCAAGCACTGCATTAGCAAGACCTAGTATGAGCACATTTTTGGAAAGTTCAGTCTCTGAGGTTCAGTTCTGAGGCTCAGAGTTTTCTGGGAACTATAAAACAGGGCAGAGTAAATGGCAGAGCCAAGAAGTTCCTGCTCCTCTGTTAAGGTGATGTGGTGTTATATATCTGAATCCCATCCCAGCTTCCACAGTGGGCTATTTAGCATTCATGGAAATACATGCTTGTCATCAGCTGATAGGGAAACAGAAAATGGTGAGCCAAAGGAAATTGCACCTTTTGGAAAATAACAATATTAGACATTATTGTCATTTTTTTCCCTAAAGTCTGTGTCAAGTAATGTGAAATTATTGAATTAACCTCGAAGCCAGGTAGCGACCACAGAAGAAATACAGACTTTAGAGGCAAGACTGGGGGAGATTTCTTGATTGTGAGGTTAGGCTTTAAAAGACATCTCAGACCCAAACACTTACATTGATTGTAAGTGCTTATGCACTTCTAAGAATCTAAAAGGAAGAGAAGGAATGGAAAAGGGAGGTTTGCAAGGATAACAAAGATTTTGCTATGGGCAAGCTGCCCTGGGGGGTAGGAGGGGTGAGCTATTTAGAAAGATGGGGTGGGTAGCTTGAGTTGGAAACTGTCCTGGAAAGAAAGAGTGAAAAATACCTGGTGCTCCTATTCTTGTCTGTTTGGACATAGCACAAAATACAGGCCCAACCTGGCACTGGTCTTGATTGTCCTTGGGATGTAACTGGATCACTGAATTAAAAGTATATGCATATATTATATGTATATATATATATATATATACATATATATATATACATATATATATATATACATATATATATATATACACTTAGCCCATCCTCAATGTGTTAGTAGAGACACAATTTAGCAAGTTTGGATCCCAAGGCAACATAATTGTGTAAAATTTTATTGGTACCATTTGTTTTTACATCACATTCAGTTCTGACTATATCTTCCCCTACTCAGTGAGAATTTCCTTGTAACAATTATTTTTTTTTGGAAAGTCACATAGATAAGCATTTATAAAGTTATCTACTACGTGCCAGGCTTGGTGTTAAGCTCTGGGGATACAAAGAAAAGAAAAAAAAAAGTCCCTACCCTCTAGGAGCTCACAATACAATGAGCAGAGAAAAAATATGAACAACTATGTACAAATAAGATATATACAGGATAAACTGGAGATAATCTTAGAGGGAAGGCACCCATATTAAGGAGGACTCTGAAAGGCTTCCTGTAGAAGGTGAGATTTTAGCTGAAACTTGAAAAAAGCCAGGGAAGCCAGGAGACAAAAGCATCTAGGGAGAGAATTCTGGCATGGGGTATAGACAGTGAAAATATGCAGAGTTGGGTAATAGAGGTTGTGCATTTTCCTCGCAACAACCATGTGAAATAAGTAATGCAAGATGATCCCCACTTCACAGAAGAAACTGAGGCCCAGACAGTTTATATGATTTGCCCATGATTGCACAGTTAGTAATTGGAACTGAAACTCCTGACACTGTATGATGGTCTTTTCATTATGGCACAGAAGATAGCTGGCCCTTGCTGTTTTAATAAAATAATCTTCCGTTATTTAAAAAAAAAGTTCTCTATTTTTTTGTTATTGATTGTCTTTTGTTTTTGAAGAGAATCAATGACATCACAGGGTAATATTGACTCCTGGGTGATTTGGATTTAAGTGAGGCAGAGCTACACAAAGTCATCAACCTCATTCACTCTTCCAGAGTCATCTAAGTCCAGTAGGAAGACAAAAGTCAAGATGACTGGCAATGGCCTGATGTTGGACCAAGCTCTAAGTGCTCTACAGAGCCTGCTTCAGCTGTCTTCATGGCCACTGGAACAAATTGTTCTCATCTGCCCATTGCTCTGGGAGAAGTCTTCACATACTTGGGGTGGACACTCCCCTGACTCACCAATGGGTTTGAGAACCCTCAGTGCCCCTCAAACTGGTTTAGCCCATGTGGCCACTGCTCATGCTACAGCTTCTTGGAGCCACAGGTGAGTTAGGTGGATCAGGCAGACACCAGAGGTGGAAAGCAGTGAAAAGGGCATTCCTCACACCAGAGGAGTTAATCCTCCTTGAACACTCCATATACCCCTCTATTTTTGTAAAAAAGAAAGTGAAAGAGAAGAATGGATAACATCACAGACTTTTCTCATCTGCTTATGACATTATACCTTAAATTGTGGCTATATGTATAAGGCATTCTGTGTGTGAGCTGCTTGGAAACAGAGACCGTCAGAAGATAATTGGATCCAAAGCTGGAAGAGGCCATATAGATCATTTAATATTCAACAGTCTCAGTTTACAGTAGGGAAACAAAAAAACTTCAGCCTAAATGATTTGTCCAAGGTCACTCAGTTAGTGGCAGAGTAAAGGTTAGAATCCAGGTCCTAGGATTCCAAATCCAGTATTCTTTCTGCTACACCATAGATCTTGTTCCTCCTCATATTCCTTGTAATAATAATACAAAACATTGATATAACACTTACTACGTGCCAAATGTTTAACAAATATCATCTCATTCGATCCTCACAACAACCCTGGAAGATAGGTACTATTATTATTATTTCTGTTTTACAGATGAGGAAACTGAAGATGACTTGCCCAGGGTCACATGCCTAGTAAGTGCTTGAGGTAGCACTTGAATTCAGGTCTTTCCTGACTCCAGATTCATCATTTTATCCACCTTGCCACCTAGCTGCCAACACCCAGCACAGAGCTCTGATTACAATCTCTGCTTTAATGTCTTTGTTGAATCAATGAATGAAGAAAGCATGCTTATTCTCACTTCAGAAAAACCACAAGCATAAAAAGCTGCCAGAGAAGTGGATTGAGACCATAAATGAGCCACTGCCATTTGGTGTCCAGGTATCCTAATCGCAGGCAAAATACAGGATACAAATACAAATTTAAGATAGTCCCTGCCCTCAAGGAGTTTACATTCTAATAAGAGGAGCAACACAAGTAGGAAAATTAGCTTCCAGAAGGATGGCAGGGCCCTTCAGATACATCTGCAAACCAAAACAAAGTGACAGTAGTAACATTTTAAGGGACTCTGTGCTGGAGGTTGAGAGTTAAATGCAGAAAAGATTGGGACTATCAGAGAGAGTCCTGCAACAAAGCACAATTCCATTACAGGCTTAGGAACACTTGGGCCCTGTCTAGTTTGGCAGCTATCAATATTTCATATTTCATACTCATAGGAATGGGAAAATGCCATTTCCCATGGTTCCTAGCCCACCCTTTTTTCAGGAAGTTCAGTCCCAAGGCTTTGGACAGAGCTGGAAATGAGTTAATATTCTTACTTGCCCAGAAGGGGGTTGAAGAGTTCCCACTTCTAGGGTTCTAGAGGAATATCTGTAGATTAAAAGAAGAGGCAGATGGTAAGGTTTGAGAGTTTCATCAGTCGAGCCTTTAAAAATGAAAATCTGTTATCTGTAAAGAGTGTCACATTAAGTCATCACTCATTAACACCTTCAATTATAACAGACTTTGTTGTTTGTCCTTCATTCTCAAAGACACCATGACATTGGGGAAGGTGATATCATGACTTGCAAGTGAATTAGATATAAGAGAGGCAGGGCTATGCAAAATCACCAGCCTCATTCTCTCCTCTGGAGCCCTTTGGGTCAAGTGGCAAGATATGGATCAGGATGATTAGAGTTGGCCCAGGATACAGTGGAAGATCTCAGCCTTTTTAAGCTAAGGTCTTTCCCATGTCTCAGTTTGTCTGAGGCAACATAGACTTCATTAGTATCCTGAGCAGGCATAACACTGGTAAGTTTGATTGGGGAAAATATAGGGAAAGCCCCAAACCTGTAGGCATACATGGAGGGGATGATCAGGATAATAGTATTCAATTAGATTTTGTTGATTTCATTACATTCATTCATTTGATTCCATTCATTCATTCATTCATTTCATTCATTCATTCATTATTACAATTCAGTTCAACAGATTAAGAGGATTCTAGATTGCAGCCTGGTGAGCAATAGCCTGGGCCACTTCCTTAAATGGAGGTTTATGAAGAAACTATCTAATCAGAAAGAATTATAGAATCTAGACCTGGAAGTGACCTTAGGGATCATCTCATCTATTTTCCTTATTTTACAGATAAGAAAACTGAGACCTAGAGAGTTAAGTGACTTGATCAAGGTCATGTAGGTAGCAATTGGCAGAGGCATGATTTGAATCCAGGTCCTATGACTTCACATCTGGTTCTCTTTTCAATATATACTCAACTAATGTAATGAATAAGTGGGAAGTCATAGTAGGATGATCCAAGGACTCCAAAAGCAACAGGAAGATGCAGAGCTATTAGATAGTCAAAGACGGAATGAGGAACGAAACAGCTGTATCTCTCCTATTCCCCAACTTCACTGAAGATTATACACATAAACACCCTGCTTCTGGGGAATAAGAGGCATGAAAGACCCAGAGTTTCTGTCAGAAGCTGGGTTAGGTAGGATATAAAGAAATGGAAGTAAGGGGACCTCAGCAAAAGCCAAAAATGGAAGGGGCAGATGGTAGTAGTCTTTTAAGAAGGAAGGGTGCAGGAGCAGTTAGGTGGCACAGTGAATAGAACTCCAGCCTTGGAGCCAGGAGGACCTGAGCTCAAATCTGGCCTCAGACACTTGACATTTACTAACTGTGTGACCCTGGGCAAGTCACTTAATCCTGATTGCCTCATCAAAAAAGCACAAAAAAAAAAAAGAGGAGGAGTGCAGGGGTTGAATGAAAGGGAGAAAGAATGAAGTGTCCAGAGAAGGAGAGTTGTTTCTCTAAGGTTTGCTGTCTTCCATGGGAACAGCCACATACCTGGGCCCCAACCAGTGCTTTTAGTTATTTGTTTTTCTGAGCTATGTACTCATCCATTGATCTTTTTTTTTTTTAACATGGATTCCTGCCTCACCATTTCCCTTTGATAGCCAGGCTAAGAGTGTAAAGATGACATCAAAGAAAAAATAATGGAGGAAAAGAAGAGGCTGAGCTCTCTTTCTTTCTCTCTCTCTCTTTCTTTCTCTCTCTCTGTGTGTCTCTGTCTCTCTCTGTCTCTCTCTCTCTCTTAGACAACTACTTGGAAGAGAACATTAAAGGAACATAGAAAAGGCAGAATGAGGATCTGGGCTGAAAAAGCTATCATTTCAAAAGGATCTGGATGCCATTTTTGCCTCAAGACCAACTCTTAGTAAAGGCATGTAAAAGTTTAGGAGAATAAGCAATAAAAAGGATGGACATGAAAATTTCCTGTATGCCAGAGCTCTTTTTTTTTTCTTGGCTCTTTCTTGTTACCTCTGTTCTTCATTTTTGTTTTCTTTGTTTACTTTCACGACTGTTACATCCATCTCAAAGGCCTGGAAAATTTGGATCTCTTGAAGACAGACCAAATTTCCCCCTGATGTTCATGAGAATTCTATATATAGGAAGCAGAACCCTAATAACTAAAATTACATGATGGTGGCATAAAGTGCTCCAATTATCCAATCCAAGCTAT